AGTAAAAAGAAGCAGGAGAAACATTTATTAGAGAAGTTGTAGGTACCCTCAAGAGAGGTGTGATTGAACTGGGGTCAAGCACCTTTAGGACTCTTACTCATAAGGGTGCCCTGGGAGGGTATTCTTACTGCCAGTGTAATAGTTCTTTTAATTTGATTTTAATGTCTTTTAGATATTTATTTATAATCAGGTTAATTGGTCAAAGTATTGTATTTTTAACCTTGAATTTTGATCACCCTTTGAACATTTTGCTTTTGGTGTGGGAATGAGTACAGTAAGAACTGTATATAGGTAAATTGTTAAATCAATGTAGATCTGAATAGACCAAGACATGTTAACTTTTCATAAATCTGCCACTAGAGACTATAGTGTAAGGAAATGTATATGGTTTTCAAGTTAACCAGAGGTTGATTATGGTGGATTGACACCTGGTGGTCAATTTATAACACCCAGATAAACTGAACCAGAGCGGTGCTGAGTGTGGGAGGCCCACCTGAGGAGTGTTGCCAACAAAATAAAAAGAAACTGCAAAAGAAGTTAAGGTGTAGTTAGCGAACTGCTGATTCTTCTGGAGCTGTTGGTTTTCTTGGGGGAGTTTGTCATGCTGGCTTTCCTGGTGAACTTGGCTGTTCTCATCATCAAAGGAGCTCAGGACCTTGTCACTGGGAATGGCTACAGTTCACTTTGAGGGCATTCTGGTCCCAACTTTGAGCATCGCTTCGTGGCTCTGGAGAAGATTGTGGGAAGATGGTGCACTGTTCAATGTGCTGGGGAAGCTTCCCTGATGTGAACTCAGCAGTTATTATCATCATTGGAGCTTGGGACCTTGTTGTCACTGAGGATGGCCGTGGTATCTTGGGGAGCTCTGCTTCTTACTTTGAGCATCGCTTCCTGGCTCCAGTGCAGATCTGTCAGCCTGCTGGCACAGAGCCTTCATGCCGCTGGCACAGGCTTTCTAGCTTCCACCACTGACCTTTGGCCTTCCTAGTGCAGATCCATAAAACAGACATGCATGAGGCATTGTCATGGGCTCTTAGCCTCTGGTTTGACCCATGGGGGCATTATCATGGACCCTAGGTCTTCAGTTGACTCATGCAGGACATTGCCGTGGGATCCAGGCCCTCAGCTGGATTCTTTTGCTCTTTGGTGTATGGACAGATTTCCTGCACTTTCTTTGTATGTGACTCTTCAGGTGACTTTTATAAAAAACAAACCAAAAAACTATGTGTCCTGTATTATTTTCCTTGACTACAACAGCCAGGTCACAATGCAAGCCATCATGTAGGTTTGAAGTGGTGATGGCATGAGACAGGCTGTCTTCACCACAGCTGTGCTCAGGGCAGGAGGAAGCAGAAAGGCAGTTTCTGGGTGAGAGAACGGGTGGACCCAAGTATAGCTGAAAGGGACATGCTCGGGCATGCTGTTTGGGGAGTAAATACACCGGGCTTATGTTCTGAAGCTGCAGGATTTCTTTAAAGTACAATTTAAAATTCTTGATTTCCTGGTCTCATTTCTATCCACTTTTATTTCCTCTACGAAAGGAGGCCTGTTCCCAAATAGGGCTAAAGCCCCTGGAGAGAAACTGAGTGATTGTTGATGTATTCATTCATTTAGAAAATATTTTTTGAACACAAACTATGTGCCAGGGTCTTTGGGGTTGGACATGAACTGTGACAGTTGATTGGGCCAGTAATCGTTGAGGTTCTCGTGCTGTATGAGGGCAGAATTACCAAGCATACAAACATAAACCCAGGGCCGGGGAGATGGCTCAGTAGAATAAGTGCTTGCCTGGAAAGTGCAAGGGACTGAGTTCAATCCCTGGTACCACAAAAGAAAAAAAAAGAAAAGAAAAAAAAAAAAAAAAAAA